TTTTCTGCTCTGAATTAAGGAGACCCATTTACCTCTTTCTCTGTCTTTCCCTCTCTGTGTGTGCTTGCAAAATGAAAATGAAGTCTCACTAACACAGTCCCCTGCATTTTACATCTAACAACATATTACAAACCTTTTCTCATCACTCATCATTTTTTGTGTGTGTATGATGGGTATGTGTGTAGTGTGTATGTGTGTGTGCCTGTTCATCTGTGTGAGTGTTCATGGGGGGGACACTCATGTACTATGGCACACGTGTGAAGCTCAGAGGACAATCTCTTGTGTTGGTCCTCCTCCCCCACCTTGTTTGAGGCAGGGTCTCTCGTTCGCTGCTTCGTACATCAGGCTAGCTGACCACGAGCTACCAAGGTTTCTGTCTCCACCTCCCGTTTCCTCCGAGGAGAGCTGGGATTACAGATGGGCACTCTTGTATCTGGCTTTACCCAGTTCTGGGGATCTCAACTCTGATCTTCTCACATGGGTTGCAAGTGCTTTATCCACAGAGCCATTGGAGTCACTGCCAGACATGGTTTCTGACAGCCTCATGTGACCCATTCTGTGGATCTGTCACAGTCATACAGTCATGTTATTCTAACATGGGAAATGCATAGCTATAAAAATAGCTCCATGATAAACTGCAGCACAGCCCCTGTTTGCACAACTTTAATTGCTTCCTAATAAATCTGCAGGCCTGAAATTGAGAGCTCCGAGAACGTATATATTATTAAGGTGTTTACCAACATATGCTATATTTAAAGAAATTTTTCTTATCTGATGAATGTGTGGGAAGATTACTTCACCCGCACTTGTCAACACTTGGTGTTGTATATTTCAAATAAGTGACACAAAGATTGCACTAATTTTTCATTAATTATGCTAAACATCCCAATTTGCTGATTGCCATTTGTTCATATCTATGAATGACAGTCCTAGATTTTCCCTTTTCTTATTGATCCCTAAGAACTTTATGTAAGGGGACGTTGCTCAGTGTAGACCACTTGCTCAGCTAATATATGGCCTGGGTTTGATTCCTAGCAGTGCAGAAAAAGAAGAACTTTTGCTATAATGATATTAGTGTTTTCCCCAATATTCATGTCGTAAAATTCCTCCCTTTCTGTTAGGTGTTACTTTTGTTAATATGTGTTAGTGGTGTATATAGCATTCTGTGTGAGTCTAACCTAATGTGATAAATATGAAGCCGACAGCCAGAGCGATTTCTCCCCTCTGTCTTCTAATTTGCTAATCATCTGAATTATCCTTCTCGTGTTCACTGTCTCTGATGGATTTTGAAATTCAGCGATTGGATTTTTCTTCTGAGACAATCTTTCCTAATTTCAGATTGTTCCCTTTTCAGACTCTCTTGACTCTCATTGAAAATATGAATCAGACATTTTCTAGAACTTTCTTTCGGCAGCTGTTCTCTCAAGAGGCTCAGAGCTGCTGTTTCGTTGTTTCTTTTCCTGTGGATGGCAGAGCTTCCATGGTCCTGCTGTCTCCTCTGCCTGTCCCTGCAGGAGGATGAGCACAAAGACGGTAACTGTCCTAGTCATTCGGATCCAGATAAGGGAGCCAGGAGTCTTTAAATTTCTTTTCTTTTTAGTTCTGCTTTGTTAGTTCAGGCTTCCCATTCCTTGGGCATAGCTGGGAAGGGACCATAGCTAGAGACTGGCATGTAACAGGTAGTTCTTCCTCACAGTGGAGAAGCAGCATCTTTACATTGGTTCTGTGCATTGGGAAGTTGGATGGAGTCCCTGTTCCTTTCTGCTAAGCCTGCACGTGTCCTCACACGGTCAGAGCAGAAGTGCACTGAGTCTGAGGCACAAGGACTTCACGCAGTCTTTCTGCACTGCTTGCGATAATCATGCTGTGAGGGCATCGCTGACCTCTCCCCAGGGTCCAGGATGTGCGGGCGGGCACGGAGCCCTCATCCTCTCCTTGCCCCTCTGATCCAGTCTTGTCAGTTGTGCTCTGTTGGGGGTGCCCATTACACATGACAGCGGGTGAACTCCTCTGTACCTGTGTTTTCTGAAGCATAAGACCCCACGCAACTTTGGGCACTGACAATGGAGCATAAATCCTACTAACTTGTACCTAAAGACACTGTTCATTTGTCAGTTCTCCTTCCTTTCTTCAGGCTACTACAAAGACAAGGTCCCTAGACTCTGTAACACCCACGCTGCTAACCTCCCAACTTAAAAAGGAGAGCAGGCAGGCCCTAGGCTCAGGGACTTTGGAAAGCAACAGCATCTCCTTGAACTCGAGAACATCCCTCTGCATTAGTTCCTTTTCTATCCCTGATGAAATACTTGACGGAAATAACAAAGGAGGAAGAATTCTTTTGGCTCACAGTCTCAAACATCCATTTGTAGCTAATTAGCCTGGTACATTTAAGCAGAGCACCACCACAGCAGCTGAGAGTGAGAGAAGGCAGCAGTCCACATCACGGTGGACCAGGAAGCAGAGCAGGAAATAGGGGCTGCGTGGAACCTTCAGAAACCTTGATGACTGCTTCCTCCAGCCGGGCTCCACCTACTAGAGGTTCCATAGCTTCTGAAAAGAGCTCTGCCAATTGGGGACCAAGTGTTCAAAACATGAGCCTGTGCTCTATCTGTGCGTGCACATATGTAGACCAGAGATTGATGTTAAGTGTCTTCCTCTGTCATTCTCCACCTTATGTATTGAGACAAGGTCTCTCACCAAACCTGGAGATCACCAACTGGCTAAGAGCCCCTAGGTCCTTCTGTTTCCACCTCCCAGGGCTGGGATTACAGGTGTCTGGCTTTTTACATAGGTGCTGGGGATCCGAGCTTGGGTTCTCATGCTTGTGTAGCAAGCATTGTACACACTGAGCCATCTCCCCAGCCCTATCTCTTTTTGTCTCTCTATATATATTTTATTGCATTTTTGTGCAGATTATACATCTTAATATTAATCATCCTATATCTACACCCCCATAGTCCCCCACTGGATTTCATGCATTCCGTCATATATATTAAGGCCTATTGAGTCGAGTTTGTATTCCCAGATGTCCCTCCAGTGTGAGTTCATCCTCTGCAGCCTGGTCAGCCTATCTAGTGACACTCCCTACAAGAAGACCATCTCTCCCTCACCCAGCAGTGATCAGCTGCCAATAGTTCCTCAGCTGAGGTTGCAGCTTCTTACCCATTTCTCCACTTCTATGCAGGGTTTTTGTCTGGTTTGAGTGTGCATGGGTCTTGTGCATATTGTTACCATTGTTGTAAGTTCAAATGAGCAAGTTCCCAGAAGCCTGGAAAAACTCTTACCTTGTGTTCATCTACCATCCCTGGTTCTTACAGTCTTTCTTGCAATGGTCCCTGAGCCCTGGGTGGGTGAAGTTTAATATAGTTCAATCCAGAGGCATGCACTCTGCAGTCTCTTATGCTCTAGATTTTGGGCAGTTGTGGCTTTCTGTGTTCATCGCCCTCTGTTGCATGAGGAAGCTTCACTGGTGAGAGTTGAGAGATGCTTAAGTATTCTTTATACCCTGTTCCACTACGTTCTGTGAGCTTTAGGTATAAAGGTTGCATTGTAGATGTGCCACTTAGGGTTGGGCATCTCACAGACACTTATTCTCTGTGTTTAACCAGTTGTGGAACTCTGTAATAGTTTCCTATCTTCTTTTTTGACAGTTACTTTCTATTCGAAAAAAGTGACACTGGATTTCTTTTAAATGAAGAGATAGCAGACCCCTCCCCCTTTCATTTCATGTGTCAGCAACTGAATCCAGAGACTCGTGCATGCTAATCTTCACCCTTAACCCAGAAAGCAGACTTTCAAGGTGAACATACTTCATTTCGCAAACTTTCCTGGAACTCATGTGCACAGCAATCTCCCTGGGTTCCAGTGGAGACACACATGTGCTATTATTTTTGTGTATCTTTTAGAGATTCAGGGGGGAAAGAATTGAATAGTAAATATGGATGCTTAGAGGCTTGTTTTACTATTTCTACTTTGATTTATCCAGTCCCCTTATATTTGGAAGTTGCCTAAGAGGATTTATGAATGGAGAAAAATTATATATTTCTATCTGTTCATTTTTAGGGAAAACTGTTGGGGGAGCAGTTTAGAGGCCTCTCCCCCACCTTTGCAATGTCCATTTTCCTTATTCAGTCTTTTGATTGGCTGTGGTCAAGATCTTAGTGGTCAAGAAATTAACCAAAGCCACCGTGTTTATGATAGAAATGTTAATACTGTTAATAAAGAGAAAGACCATGCCATCTTTTGAGAACTTGTGGAATGCCCAGTGCTGCATTTACTGCACAAACATCACCACATTTCAATGTCATAACAACTCTCTGAAAAGGGAGTTTATTCCCACGTATAAATGCAACATATAAAGGCTCAGATGGGCTTTGGATCCAAGGCCCTCCAGAGGGGCAAGGACAGACGTGAGAAGGAACGCAGCCAAGGCATGATACCAGGGCCTCTGCACACAGCCACAGCACAATGTCCCCTAAGAGGCCAAATGCAGAGGAAAACAGTGCTGTGAGGTCGGTGGTCATCCAGATGCAGCCAAGAGCTGCGTGGAAGATGGCAGTGTGTGGAGTAAGGGGGCGGGAAGGGGACAACTCACAGAAGGAGAATATGCCACATGGGGACCCGTGCAGTAGGTGTGCATGTGCTGCACCCACATTTGGAGGTCAGAGGAGAACTTCAGGTGTTCGTTTTCATGGTCTGCCTTCTTTGAAGCAGGGTCACTGTGCTGTTTCCTGTTGTATACAACATTTTAGCTGGGAATTCTGCCTCTCATCTCACTGTCAGAGTGCTAGGGTTCCAGATACACTACTGCATCCAGGTTTACATGGGTTCTGGGGATTTGAAGTCAAGTCTTCATGCTTGCATGGCAAGCACTTTACTCACAGAGACATCTTCCAAGTCCTCAACACGTTTTTAAAGCAGGCCCCCAGCTCATGCCCTGCTCACTTCAATACTGTTACCTAGCGAGTCACACTTTGTCCCAACCTCTTGTCTCCCATTAGGTTCAAGTTACTGAGCCAGGAAGAGGGCGAGTACTTCAACGTGCCTGTGCCACCAGAAGGAAGTGAGGGCAACGAAGAGCTGCGGCAGAAATTTGAGGTGAGATTTCATTCTTCTGTTCTTTCAGCGGCGACCAGGTGTGTCTTAGCACCGTGATCGTTTCTTCCCATCCCGGGTATGGTGTGCTGTCTGGTGAGAAGTTCTGTACTCTGAGCCTCTGCAATGCTGTCCAGCTCCTAGAAAACTTTTACTAAGACTTGAAGACCTCTCCCTTGTGAAGTCCTCCCTCATTCAGACTTAGACATTTTCTCCAGGTTGTGCGTTCCATGCCACCTCGGTGGTGCTTTTGACTGGAACGGTAATAGAAACGCGGAAGTGGATGGAGTAGTGATGTGTTTTGGAAGGATTCTTGATCTGGATCTATCAGTAGGGGGTCTGAGCTGTTTCAGGTAGACTGTGCTGGTGACTCCATAAAGACTTTATGGGTGGACCATCACTGACAATCATTTTTGTCAAACCCACGGCCCTGGGCTCTGACCCTGGATTGTATGGCCGGCTTTTCCTACCTCAGAAAAGCTTCTTCCCCTCTCTAGAACTGGTGAACCCTACCCGCAGCTCTCTCAGAGTAGCAGGTATGCATGGTACCTCCCAGTTTCACAAAGGGAAATGTTTGGGGAGGGTAGGCTGGACTATATACATTACATGTAAATCATGTGATTTGAGAGTACTTTCACATGAGAAACATAGTCTTCTTTCACACGAATTTACTGTGTTGAGTCTGGTGTACATTCATCAAGTCTCAGTAAGCAATGCTCTACTAACCATGAAAAACAATGTGTAAAAGCAGCTAAAATTAGTTCATGTCATGCATTAACTAATTACACAAGAAACTTGAAAATGATGACAGCTTAAAATTCTATGGAAGAGGCACCAGGTATTTTCAGAATACAGTGACCTTGTCTGAGAAAGCAGGGGAAGGGTCATGGCGGAAACGGCAGTGGAATGGAACCAAGTAAAGAGGAGAGGAGGGGCGTGCCATTCCGAGAGAACAGCTTGTGCCAAGCCCTGGGGTGGGGAGTTACACAGCAACTATGTGAGACTGGCCAGGGAGACAAGAGTGGAGAGAGAAAGGGGTGAATCCAAGGTCAGGCTGCGGAAGTGGGGGAAGCCAGAGAGGCAAAACTACCTTGGCTTTGACAAGGGTCTTGACATTTATCTCAAGGAGCATGTTAGCTTCCTACTCAACTCCACACATAGTACTTAAGTATTCACCGGCCCCTTGTCTTGAGCCTGTGCCCCCACACAGCCTGGACAACGGTGATACTGTAGATGCTGAGGAGTCTCCCTGCAAATGAGTAGAAGAATCACATTGGTCTTGAGCTTGTCAATCATTCTCCCTCCACTGTTACAGTTTGAATCTCAAATGTCTCCCACAGGTTTATGGTTTATACGCTTGGCCCCCAGGTGGTGACTCTATTTTGGAAAATTCTAGGAACTTTAGCTGAAGGAACTATGTACTGGTCGTGGGTTCTTGTGGTGGGTGGCCCCTTCCTGTCTTGCTCTCTGCTTCCTCTCTACTGTGATGTAAGCAACTGTCCTCTGCCGTATACTCCCAATGCCATGATGTCCTGTCTAAGCACATAGGGTCAAGCGACCATAGCCTGAGCCTTCTGAAACTATAAGCCAAAATAGATCTTCCCTCTCTTAAGTTGTTTCTGTCAGTATTTGGTCACAGTGACAATCTGAGTGGCTAACACATGCAATGACCTTGACCCCTGAAGGTCATTTTTGTAGAGGTTCTGTATAAGCCCAGGTGACAATGAAAGAACCTTCTTACCACACAGAGTTGAGAGGTGGCTGTTTTCAGAAAAGGGTAGGAAAGGAGGCTTCCAGAGAAATCTTTCTGGAGAGGCTAGTGTTGTTAAAGCTGGGCAATTGTGGATGAAAAACAAGGCTGGCATTTTCTTGTATAAAATGAAGTCTCAGTTTTGCAAAATAATTTCTTCTGTCCTGGGGCAGCAGGAATGACATTTCCAAACACCAAGGAAACTATTTTCCGTGAAAACAGAGCATTTGTCTGAGGCAGTAATTGGCTTGAAGTACAGGGTTGTTTTATCTGCATGTGACAAAATATGTCCCTTTATCCCTAGCAAGAGCTTGCAAATGCTTGTTTATAGTTGAGTTATAATCTCTCCATACCATAGTTGTTGATTAAAAGAAATGCTTCCAACAGACTGAAATCCTTCCCAAATACACGGAGGAGTTTTACTTGACCTTGAACATGAGCACTGTAATTCCTTCTCAATAACCAATTAACACTCAGAATGACTCAGAAATGACCTTCAAGAGTGATGGGAAACTGAAGCTTCCAGAATTGGGGTGATAGTGTTCCATGGTGGGATACCCTGGGTGTGGTGATCGCACATGATCTATATCAGAACTTTGTCTGGAGGGCCATCCTCCAACTCTGACCTTACCTGTGGGCTAGGAAAGAGAAGCTTGGATTTGGGTGGTTCAGAACAGGGTTTCCTGACAGTCTTGGAATTCATTTTTTTACCAAAGCACTTATTATACTCTGTGTGCTAACTCTGAGTGCTTTGCAAACAAGAGCTCCTTTAGCCCTTGTCACAACCCTAAATGGGGGGCACTAGGAACACTCCCAGTTTCCTCTTGCAAAAGAAGAAACTGAGGCACAGAAGTGAAGTGCCTTTTAAAGGTCTCAGAGATGGTCATGGCCCTGGCTCTGAGTTTCCTCAGCAATAAACACCTGCCACTCATCTATAAGAAGGATTCAAAGCCTGATGTGGAGGCACTTGCGTATTCCCAGCAGCTGGGGCGCAGTGGCAGGAGGGTGCAGAGTTCAAGACTAGCCCTGACGACATAGCAAGACACTGATTCAAGAAAAAAATCAGTTGCTAGTAGCTTACTTGGGAATTGTCCCACAAGTCTTTGTGGGCAGATGAATAATGAGGATGTGAGGCAAGGAAAGGAAGCAGGAAGGCCTGTACAGCCTTTCACTGGTGTACCAGAACACCCCTCCTCCCAGCAGACACCAAAACCCAGGGATGCTAAATTCTCCTGTATAAAATGGCATTACATTTGGTGTCACCCTGACAAATCCGGTTGCTCTAAACTGTCTTCAGATGGCTTAGAATACACATTAACATACCAGTGGTTTCCAAAAGCTTGTTCTCTGTTGTTTAGGGACCAAGGACAAGAAAGAGAATGTATATGCTCAGTACACACAGTTGTTTTCCTCTGTTTTGGTCCATGGTTGCCTGACCCTGCTGCTACTGAGGACAGCTGTCAGATCAAGCAGTGGCTGCTACAGGCTTCTGGACTGTAATCCCACTGTAAAACTCTGAGCATTTGCCCAGAACACTTGCTGAATGTCTCCATCCAAGGACAGGAACCGGGCCTTACCCATAGCTTCCTTCCCTCCATAACATCTGAGGCACTTTCAGCCTGCCCCATTTGTGGGCCACACTAGCCGCTAAGAGTAGATGAGTGAGTCCTAAGGGCAGAGTGACAGGTGTTTGCAGAGTGCAGCCCAAGTGTGGGGAGTATGCCTGAGGGTTTTGGTGGTTTAACTAGGTGGCGTGGTGTTGGATCCTACTTACTATAGGCAAGTTACTCCATCTCTCTGAGTTTTCAACACACCATCTGTAAACAGGGAATTCTGACACTTTTTACCACAAAAGGTTACATGAGGATTGAATGATGTCATGCATTTAGAAGCATATGGCGCATCATCAGCATTAGACTTTAGATGCTGGTAATGGTCTTACCAGATCCTTCCCTGAAATAAACAAAGCTCAACACATGTTCCTAGAGTGGTAAGGGTAATCTATGGGTACCCCTCACCTTCTAGGACAGCTGGGAGCTCACTTGGAGGCTCCTTGGAAAACTGGGGTGCAGAGGGACTTGTAGTTTAAGTCAGGACAGGCATTAGGCATCTGATAGGGTCTTCTAGGACATTCTGAAAAGTGGCCTGGCTCTGCTCTCAGATCACCATTTGCTTTCTCTTCGGCAATGAGTCCTCAGGCTCTAAATTGCAGACATGAAAAGCAGCCATTAGCGGAGTCCTGTTTCTGAAGGCTTCCTGTCAGAGAAAGGGCGGCTTTCATTTTCCATTGTTCTTGCTTTGATGCTGTATCCTCAAGGCTGTGTACAACTGCGGTGTCTTCAGAAGGATGCGTGACAAGTTCTTGTCCCCCAAAGACTCTTCAGAAAGATGTGTGACAAGTTCATGTCCCCCTAAGCTTGTACTGGGGTCACAGCTCCAAATGCTTTCAGGAGCCAGGCACGCAAGGAGAGAAGCCTGGTCCCATGCAGTGCTTCCAGGTCTACTTCAAAAGAGGCCGGAGTCTGGTGTTTTGCTTTGTTTTGGTTTGGTTTCGTTGGTTTGTTTTGAGTACTGGGGCTAGATCACAGAGCCTCATGCATGCTAGGAAAGTGGTCCACCACTGAACCATACCCCCACCCCAATTCTGGGTTTTTATAAGAGCCTCTCCTGCATTTAACAGTTGAAAATGTGTTTAAATGTTAAAATAACAACAAATGCTGGACAGAATAGGCTTCTTATTTAGATTCCAGATACTGAACTAACATGCTGTTGTTATAACAAAGTACTTGAAGCTAGGTAATTACAAAAGAAAAAGAGTGTTTTAGCATACCATTTTGGAGACTGGTAGCCCAAGACTGGATAGTCCTGTCAGGGTGGCCTCTGGTGAGAACCATCTTGGCTGGATCTGTACATGGTGGAGAAACAGAAAAGGAGCTGGATGCATACAGAAGGGGCCCGGCACATGGGTAGCTTTCTTTCTAATGACCTGTTCTGGAGAGAAATAACTCAGTGAAATGAGAGTGAGCGAACGAGTGAGAGAGACAGAGAGAGAGAGAGAGAGAGATTTTTAAAATGTTGCTTATCTCCAGTTCCTCTGAACAAATTCAAAAGTTGCAAAGTGTGCGCTCCACTCTCTCTCCCATTTCAAAGGCAATGTGCTCCTGGGACCACAAAGTGGGTGGATAAGCACACCTCACGGGTGGGCTGGGAATAGGGTGGAGAACCAAGTACCTGAGTCTGATGGGTCCTAAATCAGCACAAAGGAAGTGGGAGACACAGGGATGAACAATGAGATGGTGGGGAAGAGTAGGCTTGGACCAGTCAGGAAACACCCAGGAGGCTGGAGGGATTCAAGACCATGTAAGGATGTGGCCCAAGAAATACAAAGCAACTTGTCAGGGGCTCCTTTTGTGAAGTTCCATTGCAGATGAGATGGTTTCATGAGGTCTTGGAGAGATGACTCAGCAATTAAGAGCCCTGGCTAATCTTTCAGAGGACCTGAGTTCAATTCCCAGCACCCACATGGCAGCTAACAACTGTCTATAACTCCAGTTCCAGGGGATCTGATTCCCTCTTCTGACCTCCACGGGCATTGCATGACACAGGTGTACTTACATACAAGCAGGCATTACACTCATACACATAAAATAAAAATAAATAAAAGTCAGAACAAAACAACAACAGCAACAAAGATGGTTTCATGCTTTGAATCACCGCATCTCTACCTGGGACCCTGACATTTCTCTCTCTGGTTCAGGTATCTTAGTTTTAACCCATGAAGACAACTGCTTGTTGGGTATTTTAGACTTCAACGTATCTTACTATAAAATAACCAGATCAGATACTGAGGATTTGATAGTAGTCCCAAACAACACAAGCACCCATCAACAGGAGAGGGGTGAACATTGACAATGGATGGGTCTTAGCAGCACAGAGGGACAAGTCCCTTGATTTGTACAGCAATGTGGAGGAGTTTCAAGAACTTTCTGATGAGTGGAAGAAAGCGGACATTAAAGGGTACATGTGCTTTGATTCCGTTTAGATGAAATTCAATAACAGCAAAATCTGGCCTGTGGGACTAGAAATCAGAACAGAAATTTGCCTTTGTTGTTTGAGACAGGAGATGGGCTGGGAATTTAGGGGGTTAGACATGTTCGATGTCTTCTTTGGTGTTAGGACTATACCAGTGACTACACTTGTCAAAATTCATAGAATTATGCATTTAATATCTGTGCATTTTACTCTATACATCTCAATTATTCATTTTTGTATGTATGTACATGTTCACATGTATATGGATACAGGTGGAGGCCAGAGAATAATCTCATCTGTCCTTCCTCAGACACCATTCATCTTTATTTTGAGACAGGATCTCTCACTGGCCTGGAACTCACTGAATTCCAGCTAAGCTGCTGGTCAGTGATTTCCAGAAATCCATCCTCCCCAGCACTGGGATGACCAGCATGTGCCACCATGTCTGACTTTTTTTTTTTTTTTTAACATGGATTCTGTATTTATAAGACAAGCCCTGTATTTATAAGACAAACACTAAGCTATCTCTCTAGCCTCCAACCACAATAGTTTAAAATGTTAATTAAGAAGACAAAAAGGCATGGAAGTTTTGCGGGGAAGCTGAGTGATGATAGCGGGAAGAGGAAACAAACCTGGTAGTGTTTAGCCTGCGTGGGAAGGAGGATCCGCAGCGCCACATGTGTGAAATCAGAGCCCTCATCGCTTCCCGTCCTCTTATGCACTCCTCCAAACACACCCACACTTTGCATCCCAGTGGAGAGACCAGCATCTTTCAAGTTGCTCAGAATGGAAGCTGGGAATCCGTCCTTCATTTCTCCTGTCTCCCTCTCCCTCACTGTCCCCAGCTGTGATGAGTCTGTCTCCCACATACATCCACTTCCATCCCTTACACTGAAGACACTTAAATCCAGTCTCACCAATGTCCCGTCTAATAGCTACAGTCACTACCTAATGGCCTTCAGACTCACAACCATCAGCCTGGTTCCTTTGCTCTATGCAAGGCGATCTTAATATAGTACAGTCACAACATGGTCCTGCTTAAAAACCTTTCAGAGGCAGCAAGTTATGCTCACAATCCTCGATGCGGTTGACAAGGTCCTTCTAGCCCTCTGGCCACATCTCACATACCTGTCTGTCCCCTGAGCTCCAGTCAGGTGAGCCAATGTTTACTTCATCCACTGTGCCTCGCTTTCTCACCTGCAGTGGTGCTCCCACTGCCAATACAGAGCCTTCCCCTGGCTAACTCTGACATAGTTTTGGACACAGTATGAGGACCCAGGGCCTGCAAGATAGTCTTTCTTTGAGCGTCGGTATCTGCTATGCGCCCTGATACATCCTCAGATCCTACAGTGGGGCATGGCATGCAGCAGGCACTCAGTAAGTGTTCCTTGATGGAAGGGGCTGGGAAAATGGCTCGATGGGTAAAACACTTGCTGCAGAATCATGAGGTCTTGAGTTTGAATCCCTAGAACCCATGTAAACGCAGGTGTGGTAGCATGCCTCTGTAATCCCAATACTCCTCTGGAGAGATGGGAGGTGGTGACAGGGGAGTCCCCAGAGGCTCCAGGGCCAGCTAGCCTGGTGTACCCCGTAGTGAACAGCAAGAGAGGCCAGGCCTCAAATGAGGTGGAAAGCGCGGACCAGCACTTGAGCTTGCCCTCTGACCTTCACGTGCATGCCATCGCATGCACATACACACCACCACCTCCAGCCCCACACACGTGCACTTACACCAACACACATAAAGATCGAAACAAAACCCCAAGAGGCTTTTCCTTGCCTCTTTGTCATCAAAAGATACCGAACAATGAAACAACAATAATGATAGCTGTCATCCCTGAGTATCTGCGGTGTGCCAGGAGCCCTGCACGACCTCAGTGATTCATCATCCATGTCCTTGTCTCCATCTCCTTGCAAGGGACTAAGGTTAAAAAAGATTCATTCATCAATGCGCCCAAGTGCCTGCTCTGCTCCACGTACACATGCAGGCACCAGGAATTAGTGAGAACCAAGCTGAGGAAGTCTGTCTTCAAGGAGCTTATATTCTGATGTGAAGGGAAAGAAAAATTTTGAAACAAGTAAATGTGAAGAAAATAAATAGGCAGAATGGAAATTACAAGCACAGAATGGAAATTTATGTACAGCAGTTGGGAAAGCCTCTCTTACCAGAAAGCTTAAGCATCTTTGGCCTAGGGGCATGTTTAGTACTGTCAGTGACAGACAGCAAGGTCAGCATGGAAGAAACAAAAGACGGAGAGGATGCAGAGGGACCGGGCCATGAATGGCTCTTGCTCTGGGACACTGGAGGGTAGAGGAGGTTTAGGTACAAATGGCAGGAACCAGCTGATTTGTTCAAGGCCATACAGGTGAGCCTTGTCAGCCGGGATGCTAACCTGAGCTTTTAACTCTTCAATGCTGTCTTCCTAGAAGTGAAGTGTGTCACAGAGTCCTTGGTGGCTCAGGTTCAGGTGCACCTCGATCTCGAGCTTTCACTGCTAGTCTGTGCCTCCATTCTGCACACAGCAGGGAGCCCGTCTCCCAGCAAACGTGGGCCTCAGGTACAACAGCCCTGAGATAGGAGAGGCCTAGGATATTGGAATTCATAAGCTTTCTGTCACAGTAACAAACACCTGAGATAAATCAACTTAAAGTTTTATTTTGGCTCAAGGTTTCAGAGGTTTTTGGCATTGTCAGTTAGTGTATAGAGAACTGGTACATCATTATGTGAACATATGGCAGAGGAAACCCTTACCTCATAGCATCTGGCAAGCAGAGAGAGAGAGAGAGAGAGAGAGAGAGAGAGAGAGAGAGAGACCAGTGACTCACAATCCCTTTCAAGGACACACTCCCACTGACCTAAAACATCTAGCTATACCCTACGTCTTAAAGGTTCTGTCATCTCCCAATAGCACTGAGTTTAACATGCAGGTCTTTAAAATATTTTATTATTTTTATTTTATGTGTATAAGTGTTATTCCTGCATATAGGCAAATGCACCCGTGTCGTGCAGTGCCTGCAGAGGACAGAAAAGGCTGTTGGATCCCCTGGAACTGTAGTTATGGAGGTTGTTAGCTGCCATGTGGGTGCTGGGATTCAAACCCACATCTTCTGCAAGAACAGTCAGTGTTCTTAACTGTTGAGCCATCTCTCCAGCCCCGTATGCAGGTCTTTGGGGGACATGTACACCCAAACTATCACAACACTCAAGGGAGTGAAAAACAGTTGGGCCTGGGCTGCAGGGAACAAAGACCTTGGAAGAAAAGAGATCAGAAAGCCAGCTGTGTAAGTCATCTTTCTGTTGCTATAACCAAACATCTGAGATCATTAACTTAAAAAGTTACTCGTCCAAACCACAGCACCAGGCAGGTCTGATCTCATAGGGCCTCCATATTTTGGGGGGCAGGGGGTATTTTTGAGATGGGTCTCCCTGTAGCCCCAGCTGGCCTGGAACTCGCTGTGTAGACCAGGCTGGCCTCAAACTCACAGAGATCCACCTGCCTCTGCCTCCCAAGTGCTGGGATTAAAGGTGTGTGCCACCACGCCTGGCCTTTAGGGCCTCCATCTTTATCCTGACATTGATGGACTTCAACTGAAGCATTTGGGGCAGCAGGTAACTCAGTTGTATGAGAAGCTTCATGCCACTTGCTGTGAAGCCCTGTGTGGAAGGAGCCAACATGGCTCATCCAGGTGACAGACAGACCTAACAGGCAGTGCTGATGGAGATGGAAGGAGGTTCATAAATTTCAGAGGCAGTGAAAAGAGGAAAATAACAGTTCCTGAAGATGGGTGAGATGCCAGGGATACAGAGAGATGCAAGGGCCCAGGATGGCCTTGCACAGTGTTGCGTGGTTGTGCTTTGCACAGGGCTTGAGTTCGTGTATCTTCCTACCAGAGCGTCTCCACCCCTTATCCTGTGTTCTGTGTGCTTCTCCTCCAGAGAGCCAAGATCGGCCAGGGTACCAAGGTTCCAGAAGAAAAGACGACCAATACCATCTCCAAATTTGATAACAATGGCAACAGGGACCGGATGAAACTGACCGATTTTAACTTCCTGATGGTGCTGGGAAAGGGGAGCTTTGGCAAGGTACGGTATGATTTGGTGACTTCAGATTAAGCAGCTGTCCCTGTGGGACTTGTATGCTGGTGGCAAAAGATGAAAATATAAATATATCCACATCACAGTTTGTAACAAATATCACGAAGGAAACAAATAGGGGACGATGTCACATACAGACTGAGGGGGGACCCACTCACGTGATCTGAGAAGGAGATGGAAAGAGTGGGAGTGAGCCAACTGCATTCAGAGCAAGGAAGAGGAGCTGGGGACATAGCTCAGTTGGTACGGTGCTTGCCTAGCATGCACAAAGCCTAGAGTTCAATAGCCAGCCCCGTGTAACCTGTGGTACATGCCTGTAATCCTTGCATGTGGGGGTTGGAGGTGGGGGCAGGAGGATCAGAAGCTCATGATTATTCTCAGCTACAAGTGAGTTCCAGGCTGTTCCTGGGCTACATGAGACTCTATCTCTAAAAACAAGTCAGAACAGGGAAGGAATGCTCTAGTGGAAGGAACAGCTTTTCCAGTTCTGTGAAGTGGGGAAGAACTTGATGCCTTCTAGGTGTCATCAGAAGGTGTGCGGTCCATAGTGACCTGCAAGAAGGAGCGGGGTATGAGGTTGCAGAGGGAAGCAGGGGCCTGATCATGCCTCTGCCGAGCTATGAAGAGTGGATTTTATTCATGGTGCAGTGGGGAGTCCTTGGAAGTTTTTAAGCAGGGAAGTGACACGATCAGATTTGCCTTTGGAAAAGATCACGGTGGCAGCAGAGAGTGGAAACAATTCCTTTCAAACAGCAGCACGATTGAAAGATGACCCTGGGACTCGTAGACCGATCCTGGATGCTTTTATAGATACTGTGAGACAATGTTTTACCAGAGTTGAGATTGTGTTATAAGTATTCCTGACTTGTTTAGTGCTGTTTGGAGTCTTTTAATCCCTTCATGTACCACAAAGATGTCTGGTATAAATCTCATCCCATGAACTCAGGTGTGCAAAAAATATGAATTTCCCCTCCATCTATAAAATTTATACCAGGAATCAGAAGGTTATCTTTGAATCCCCTATGTTCTCTATCCTTGCCCTCCCACCACCCCTGTGCCCTTCCATGCCATGAACAACCCACAACCCAATCTTGCTGGGCCCTTCAAATACCCAGCATCGAATTTGGCTCTGTGCTCCGTTGCACAGCCTTCATCTCAACCATGCACATACATGGACCACAGCAGCAGCTCCTAACTGCCCTCCATCCCATTACCTATAAACATACTCTTCGCTTGGCAGCATAGTAATGTTTAAAAACTTACCTTAGGCCAGACGTCTATCCTGGTTAAAGCCTTCCAATGACTTCCCATCACAAATCTACTCTCTTGGCTTATGGTGCCCCTTATAATCTAACACTTTTTCTGCTGACATCTTTCCTTTCTCTTCTCCCCATTACTCAACGTACCCTAAACACACTGATGGCTCTTGAATGGCTGAAACGTGCCAAGTTCCCTCTTAGAGCTTTGGTGACGTTAGACCTTTTGGTCTTTGCATGACTGGATCCTTCTTGTAATTCATGTCTTTATTTGGACAAGACTTCTATGAGCTACTCCCTGATCACCCACTTAAAGTAGCCACTCACGAATTCTTGTTTGGGGTAGGGTTTTGTTATGTAGCGCAGGCTATTGTCCAACTCATAAACCTCCTGGCTCATCTCCCTAAGTGCTAGGATTATAGACATGCACCCCCATGCTCAGCCACTCTCTGTTGCATTTCACCCTCTCATGGAGACCATCACTGGAGGATACTCTTATTTCCATATTGGTCTATCTTTTCCCCACTTTAGATCTAAGCTCCCCAAGAGGAGAGGTTTCTACTGGGGTAATTTCAGGATCTGTGGACCAAATTCATTCAGTATCTAAGATGGATGCTTGTGTTTTCTCTTGCCTATGGCCAGATTATCTGCTAAGATTTAATAATATCTGAAGTGATGTCTCAAAGTTTGAGGAACCTCAGAATGGAGTGAGAATGGAGAGGCAGGTCAGGCACTCAGGGGGATGGCCAAGCAGCACTGAGGGTCTCAAGGTTAGACAATAGGGAGCTAACTGTGGTCCATACCACTGTGTGAGTTTTTCCAGCATTGCTGGCCATGGGGATGGGGAAGCAGGTGGTGAGTTTGAGCTAAGGGTGGGATTAGCAAACCCAGTGAGCTAGATTATGGTAATAAGGAAGCTAGGGATTCTGGGAAGGGAGATGCTTGCTACAGATCCAGAGAGCATGGTGTTTGGCCAATATTCAATAAAAATTTATTAGATGAATAAACGAAAGTGATACTTAGACTGAGTCAGGACGGAAAGCTAACAGGAAAAGGGTCATCACTTGGATGGAAAAGAAGGAATGTGCAGAAGCCTAGGGATGAAAGCAAAGAGGTGAGTCAGGATGTTTAGAGCATTAGGGAGAGGGGATTCTAAGCTGTAGCAGTTTCCCTAGTGAGGAGGACGAAAGTGGCCTAAGGACAGAGGCAGTTCTAATGCGCTAGGCCCATTGGGGAGTTTTGTTTTGTTTTGGCTTTTTGTGTCTTCTTTATTAAAAAAAATTCCTGCAATTTTCATACACTGTAATTTGATGGTATTTAGGCTCCCTCTGTTATTCCTACTTCCCTTTATTGCCCCCATTCAATTTAATGTGTATATATAACATATATTGTATATATGTTATATATATACTATACATATATATATATGTATATGGCCTAGAGAGAGTCTAATTTGTATCCCCAAATGTCCTTCAGTGTGGATCCATCCACTGGAGCCTGGTTAACCTACCAAGAGTCCCAAGTTTGAAGGAAGCTGTCTCTGCCCCTCCCAGCAGCCATCTGTTGCCATGGTTTCCTTAGGTGGGATTGGCACATCTTACCCACTTCCAGGTGCTGGGATTTTTTTTTTTTTTCTGCTCTGAGCCTGCATGGGACCTGTGACCCCGTCCTCCTGCCTCATCCTCTCGGGTGCTGCGATTATACAGAAGCATCACCAAACCACCCTCAGTTGGGAGTTTAAAAAAATTAAATGTAGTGCATATAGCCTTAGCTACTCAAAAACCTGAGGAAGGAGGATTGCTTGAGTACATAAGTCTGAGACCAACAGGGCAACACAGTGAAACCTCTATCTCAAATAAAGAAAACTGAATCACACACGCACGCACGCACCCCACAGGACTTTATTGAGATATAATTTGCAAACCATTTTAATCTCCCCATGTAAACCATGCAATCAAATGTTTTCTAATTTGTCACAGAACTGTGCAGCCATCAACGCAGTCTCAACACTGTACCACCCAAGAAACTATAATCATTCGCAGTCCTTCCTCATTTCTTTTCTCCCCAATTATATTTTCAGTCAGCCTTGTATTCATGTGGTTCATAATTAAAATTACATTAAAAGGCTAAACACTGGGAAATCTTACTCCTACCCAAGTGCACCAACTGTTGTGGCCCCTTGCTGCCTCGACTTCCATATGTGAACTTTTGTTAATTGAATTTGCTTCTTTCTGGTCTCTCCAGGCCCATTTAGCCTTCTTATTTTGCCCTTGTTAACTCAAAAGTCAGTGTGCTGTGCATATGCATCTGATGGCTCAACAATCGAGGCTGGAGAACTGCTGATGGAAAAATGGAAGCTCCACGGGCGCTCCTGCAAAGAATTGGGGTTGTGGGTGGGGTGGGGTAGTGGGAGAATGGATCATTGGGGAATAGTGAGCAAATACAGAATAGATCGTATGTTTCCATGGTAACTTTTATAATAATTGAGAATTCTCTTGCAAACCAGGAATGGAGCATCCAATACATCAGAGAACAACAGTCTGTCGTGAAAACAAAACAGACTCACAGACATCTCTGTGATCATTTAAAACACAGCATAATCCTGTGCCGCTCTTGTGGTACTAAGTGTAGTTTGAAATTAATGCAGTTTTGTATTTGAATGCCAACTTTGAACATTTTTCAGGATCTGGGTAGGTATGTAGATCAGGCTTCTTAAAGAGAAGAACTCAGCCTGGAGAATCTGCTCTCTCCCTTCGAAGATGAAAGACGCAAGCCTTGGGGCTTTGCACCTCCCCTCCCCCAGGTCCACAATATCAGATCTGGCCCAGAAAAACATGCTCTTAAGCACTGTGATCATTTGCAGAACAACCAGGGAATGACACAAGCATTTTGCTAAGACCTGTGAAAATGACACAAGAGTGAAAGCAAGTGCAGTGCGAGGCCATTGAATTCCAAATGGGTCGGCCCAGTTTCCGGTTTCGAGAGCTTGCAAGAGAAGACCCACTTGGGGAGTTAAACTCAGGTCTACCTGGAAGAGTTATCTTACCTGAGCAGGGCTTGTTGGCATGTCTTATTTCCTTGGAGATAGATGCTTCTAGAAACTTTATGTATCTGTCAAGTGGGCAGAAATGTACAGTGACCTTACTGAGTTAGCATGACCTCATACATACACACACAGCACAGATACAACTCTTTTTAAAACAGTAATATTTTTATTTTCTTTGAAATTTTTCATACATTTATATGATATATCCATCTACCACTGACTCCCTCCAACTCCCTCTAGTGCCCCCAACCCTCCCAACTTCATGTCCCCTTTTAAATTGTTATTAATAATCCCCAGAGTCCAATTAGTGATGCTCATATATGCATGGGGACTGACTCTGCCTCCCCCAGCAGTTATAAGCTACCAATAACTCCTCCTCTAGGGTTGGCACCTCAGGAACGCCTCCCACATCCATGTTGATTTTGACTGGCTTGATCTTGTGCATGTCTTATGCAGATGACCATGGCTACTATGAGCTGATGCGTGCAACAGCCATATCATGTCCAGAAGTCAGCATTTCACAACTCTCCTCACCATCTGTTGACTCTTACATTATCTCTTCCTCAATGTTCCCTGAGCCTTGAATGGAGGGAGATTGATATAGATGACCCACCCACAGTTACTTATACTTGGTACTTTGACCAGTTATGAATCTCTGCATTAACTACTGCCCACTGCAAAAAAAA